CCTTTGCCTTTCAAGTAAAAATGAAAACAAGCAAATAAAAGGTAAAGTATGTGTGCTTTAAAAAATAAAGATGTTTAGGGCCTGGCATGGTAGCCTAGTGGCTTAAGTCCTCGCCTTGCACATCCCGGGATCCCATATGGTCGCTGGTTCTAATTCTGGCAGCCCTGCTTCCCATCCATCTCCCTGTTGTGGCCTAGGAAAGCAGTCAAGGATAGCCTAAAGCCTTGAGACTCTGCACCACTTGGGAGACCTGGGAGAGGCTCCTGGCTCCTGGCTTTGGATCAGCTCAGCTTCAGCTGTTGCGCTCACTTGGGGAGTGAATCATCAGATGGAAGATCTTCCTCTCTGTCTCTCCTCCTCTTGGAATATCTGACGTTCCAATAAAAATAAATAAACATCTTTAAAATAAAAAAGATGTTTATTTTGATAGAAAAAATTAAATCTAGCTCATAGTTTTTTTTTTCACAGTACCTATTTTTCTATGAACTTCTTGAAGACCCCCTACCTATGTATGAATTTCAAGGTTTTTTTTTTAAAGACATTTATTTACTTTGAAATGCAGACAGAGAGAAAGAAAGCTATCTTCCATCTCTTCACTCACTCCCATGTGCTGGTCAGGGTTGATCCAGAGCTGAGTCAGGAACCCAGAATTGCATCTGGACCCCCCTTGGCCCGTCTTGTGCTGCCTGCCTGGGTACATTAGCAGGAGCTGGGTTGGATGCAGAGCAACTGGGACTGGAACTGGCTGGCATGGGGTACCGACATCACAGACAGCATCACAACCCAGCTCCCTGCACCACAGCACTGGCTCTTCAAGCTTTATTATTTGTAATAAAGTTAGTTTATCTTTCAGTCCTACTCTATGAGCCTTTGGGGTACTCTCATACATAAACTACTTCTCAGGATTGGCGCTACAAAGTTGCTTGATCCACCCCAGGTCCTCCTTGGGCTGGGACCCCATGCTTCAGCACTGGCCTCTGCTGTCTTCTGTCTCCAGCCCTGCCTGAAGCCTCGGTCCCCTCCCCTGATGATGCTCCTCCCTTGCTCTGCACAGGAGTGAGGCGATCCCCCAGCCACAGCCTTCTCTTCGGAAGCACACTAGAGGTTTTACTGGAAGGCTGTAGATATTTCTCTGCTGCTTTGGTGATGACAGGAGTTCTAATACATCCCAAACTCTACTAGTAGCAATGTATTAGAGGATTGTCCATTTACGGGCCGCTAGGTGCCCAGACACACGTGCATATGTGCTTAGTGGGAGATGGTGGCGGGCTTGATTTTGTGTCAGCTCACAAGGGGACAACTTCTTCCCTTTCCCCTTCACTGTTGGCGTTTTGTCAAGAGTGAACCCAGAGAACTACCCTTGGCAGACAGGAAGACTTTGCCAAGTCTTTGTTGAAATCTGCAGGCACCTGTACATCATGGAAATGTCTTCCCAGTTGCCTCCGCCTGATGCTGGCTGAATAGAGACCTATGGACTGGAAGCCACTCCCCTGTTGCTGATACTTGCACATGACTTCCGCATTCTCCCTACTCTAAGAGGATCGTGTCTGATCCATATAATCTGCATTTGGCTGGAGCTGTGGATTTCACTCAAAATGAAAACAATTTAGATTTTGATACAATGTCTCAGCCTTGTCCATGTCTTGAATCACGCACTGGGCTAGAGGCATATTTTCTTGAGCAAGAAACTACCTCAGGCCTACAAAGAGGGAGAAGTTGTATGGGGAAAATAGGGTCATGATTAAATTCCATCTCCTCTCAGTTACTCTTCATTCAGAGCTGGGGAAATTTGGGCCTGGACCAGTGTGGTCTTGATGGCTGTTGTGTGTTTATGTTTGTTTGCATCTATGTTTATGTTTAAGTGAGCTAGGAGCCTCTGTGCACTCAGCATGGGGAAAGGTGCCACTTCTGTGGTTGTAGTGGGGGACCTCTCGATCGAATCCCGTCTTCTGCTCCAGGAGCAGTCTGTACCCAGAGTGCATTTCATGATTCCCCCAAAAGGCTTCCCATTTCTCCCTGTGGAGGAGAAGCAGGAAGGGTGGAAGTGGCACCTGCAAAGCGCGCCCTGCTGCTCACCGCCAAGGCTGGGGGTCTGGGCGTCAGTTACAGTGCAGGTCTCCCTGTCTCCAGGGGAGGACGCCTGGTCCCACGCTGGAGCCTGGCAGGGCCCCACCCCGAGGCTCTGTGAAACAGAAACCACAAAGCAAATTAGTTTTTTTTTTCCTGAAACACACACTACAACAATGTATTTCCTCATAGCTCCTCTGTGCCAGGAAGAATGTTCCCTCTTTAACAAGCCATAAACTTGGCCAGTCGTACTCAAGTCTGTACCGGAGTTTGGCAGAGCTATTGCTAGCTGTGATTTCCCACTTGTGCCAGCTGCTTGGATTCCTGACCCTCTAGTCTCTATTTACCTTCGCCATCTAAGCTCACCTGCCAAGATACCTCCCTAAAAGGCGCTCTGCACTCTCCCTATGCCGGCTGCAAAGCTGCTCCTCCAGCTCTCAGCAGTCAGCCGATGATAGTGACATGCCAGCCACGTAGATGAAAACAGTGCTTCTCTTGTTCCTGTAAGAATCATATCCAGACTGCTGCTTACACATGCGTGAAAGCATTTTCATTTTCATTTTTATACTCACTTTCGGAATTCATTTTGAAAGATAGATTTTTAAGAAAGACAAGGTTTCAATGGTTATAAATTTACCAGGGCCTTTCTGATCACTTCTTGTGTGTGTGTGTGTGTGTGTGTGTGTGTGTGTGTGTGTGTATTAGGAACTTGAAATATGTCTTCACAAGGCTCTTTGATGTGGACACAGTTGCATTTTCTTGAGATATTGCAATAATCCTATCCTGTCAGTAACCTAAGAGGAAGTAAAGGTGTGGGCAGAACAGATTGGCTTTGAGTTCCATTGGCTTCAGTGTTTATTACTGAGAATCTACTACATCAAAGAAACGAAAATGCAGCTGATTCGAACCATTGCTTTAAAACTGTAGAATTGATTTTCCTCACTTTCTGCTAAGAAAACTTCCAAACCTTTAGAAAACTTACAAAAGTCACAAAAGGAACGCCTCTCCCCTGGAGGCCGGCTTTTCCTATACTTAAACCCCCTCAGGGAAACGTCACATTCTCTTTCTCCCTTCCGATGCTCTGCAATCCACGGGCCGTCTGCCGAGACTCCCCAAGTACCCATTGTCTTTCTCCCAGTGACGTGAGGGGCAGACAGAAATAGCTCCCTCCCAACTTTCCCTCTCGCTGCTCTTCATCTCGTTAGGGACACTGCACAGCTGCAGATAAAGTCACCCAGCCGATTACATCACCTCGTGATGCTGTTCGGGGCTCCCAGCGGCTCTCCACCTGAGTTTGTGTGAATGCTGAACTACTCATTGCGAACCACAAGGTTCCACATGACCTGACAGGCTGTTACCCGTCTAGCGTTACACTTCACTTTCAGGTGCACCTCCCGACCCCCCTGGCTGTGCCTTGAGGCAGGTGGCACTTGCTGGGGACTGGCCACCTCTCCAACTTCCTCTTCCTGGATCCCTGCAGGGCTCACTCCTTGACCTCCACGAGGCTTTTATCAAGTGTCACCTCCCTCCTAGGCACCACCCAAACAGCCTGCAGAAAATATCGCTCCACCCCACATGCTTACCCCAGGCTGGGCTTTGTATTCTCCAAGAAAAAAAAAATTATTGATTTGAAAGGGGGTGGGTGGCTCACTCCTCAGATGCTGCAGCACACTGGGGTGTACCAGGACAAAGCTAGGAGCCCTCTTCTGGGTCTCCCACATGGGTGCAGATGCCCAAGTACCAAGGCCGTCTTTGATTTCTTTCCGAGGCTCATTAACAGGGACCTAGGTTAGAGAAGTGAAATAGCCAGAACTGGATACCTGTACTCATGTGGCATGCTGGCACTGGAGGTGGCAGCCGAACTTGTTATGCCACAACTCCAGCTTCTTTCCCACTTTTTGATCTGCTGCAGACTCGGTCTCTATAGCTGCGTGTTTATCTTGTTCCTTCTTCCCACCCACTGTTACGCGCACTTCATGAGGACAAGGATTCTATACAGTTTTGTTTAAAACCTTATAGTATGTAGTACATAATGGCATCTCAGCAAAAGTTTTCCAAATGATTGACATGTAAGTATAAACATGTATATACATATATATTCTTATAGATGAACTGTGTCATGGAAACTCCCCAGAGCATACCCAGGGAGTGAAGATACAGTGCAGTATCACATCTACTCCAGAGTAAAAGGAGGACTCCAATGAAACTGTTAAATATACCTTGATAATAGGATACTAGATCTACCATTGCCTATACCTGCAAAGCCATGACACACTTAAACAGCTGAGTGATGGGCTGTGACTACTGCTAAAGGACTATACTGTTGTAAAAATTATACCCTGGGGAGCAGTGTGGGAGAGTGGGAGGGGGGAATCCCTATACCCATAAAACTGGATCACGGAAAAGAATACAAACAAATAAATAAATAAATCTATAATATAGAAATATAAAATATATGAACGTATAAATAATATAGAAAATATAAATAATAAATAAATGTGCATTATGAAGACTCCATATGTGGGATTTCAATTCTTTCTGCACTAAAATAAATGTACATTCTTTTAGTTTCCATGGCTTTCTGAAGGACCATAATATTGCTGGAAGTTAAAATCAAAATGGCTGTGACTGGCGTGGAGCAGTTCTGAGGTCTCGGCATGACTCCTGGCTCCAAGAACTCTTGCCTTCCTGTTTTTGAAATGAAATAATCTTTTAATGAGTTAGCTGTTGGCAATGGAGCTGCAAGGTGACTTTCTCAAGGGGACTTTCTGCTTTTTTTCTCAGTATTGAACAGGAAAGACCCAATCAGAGGAACTTTTATGGGCAAGAACGGGTATCCACCCCATCCCGGGGAGCCCTCAGCAGTACCCAAGGTACTGATGCCCTGTGGGGTTGTTCTGCTCTCAGGGATCCTGCGGCCACTTGGCAGTCCTGGCTTCAGCCTAGCGCCGCTGTATACACCCTCTGCTGCTCTGATGAATGGAAACCAGACACAAGCAAGTTAGTTTCGTTTTCCCTAGGCACAGCTCCTCGGTGTTTGGCGAGATGACTGTATGAGATGGGTGTGAACAGGAGACCCCAGCGGGAGAACTGACAGCTTTTGCAAGGTACTGTCTTTGAAGTGAAAACTTTTTTTTAGTAATATTTAAATTGTGAAAGATAGAATTCTGCATAATTACATTAATTACATGTAGTTTCAGGTTCCTTTCTAATCTTTTTTATTTTCTGAAATTCCTGACCCTCTTTGTATTGTTTCTTTTTTTGTTTGTTTGTTTTTATTAATTACATTGCACTATGTGACACAGTTCCAAAGGTACTGGGATTCCCCCAACCCCTCCCTAAGCCCTCCCCCCATGGTGGATTCCTCCACCTTGCTGCATTGCCACCATTCAAGTTCAGTTGAGATTCTTTCATTGCAAGCATATACCAAGCTTATTGTCCAGATAAGTTCAATGTCTTCTTGGGGAGACCATCTCTGGTCTGAAGGTAGAGTATCATCCTGATCAATCAAAAGCCCCAACATAACATCAGCAACAAATTATAACATTATGGAATTAGTGGACATAGTATTGAGTAACCAATATGTTAAAAAAAAATTCAAGTTCTTAATCACATTCTGTGACTTTCGATTTCTTGATCCTCTTTCCCATCAACTCACCAGGGAAAGCCACGCACCGCCTTGCTATGCTAATTAGTTCTCTTTGTGCATGGTCAACTGATATATATTTAATACACTCAAGTTTAGAGTTACTTTAATATTTTCATAAGTTATATTTATGTATAAACACCTATTTATATAAAAAAAGTACATCTGGAGTTTTAAAAGTAGATGTGCCCTCCCAGGCACACAGGTAAATAAACAAACAAAAAAGATTTAATGATTCAGAACTTACCAGAATTTTCCTGAAACCTTCTTCTTTTTATATCGGAAACTTGAGGCAAATCCTTTGGAACTTTGCTTTCTTATTTGTCTTCTAATTGCTGAGAGACGAGTGACTGTGAGGAGCCTTATTAAAAACTAAGCCACGAAGGGGCAAAGTTTTCTGGTGTCTCCAAGTTTTGTCTCCTGGGGAGGGCGTGTGAGGGCTGCAGAATGAGGAAGTGGCGGTGCTGAAGTTTCACTTTTCCTTCGGACTAAATGTCTGTAGAAAGAATGTAGAAGTCTTCCAAAACAAAATTCTGCCTCGTGATTTCAGAAATCATGAAGAAATGATTTGACTGGGTAGATTTTAAGTCAAAAGAAGTGATTGACTAAATAAATTTTAAGTCAAAAGAGTTTAGAGATTGCAAGAACAAAGCCAGCTATGGTAGAAAGTGAGTAGAAATACCAGGGACAGCACTGTGGGATCATGGTGGGTGGAACTGTCTTCGTTTCTCCTTCTCATTCCTAGGGTAGAGCTGCAAGCCTCCAGACTGTAGAATGGGGCTGTATTTGGAGGTAGCATCTTTAGGGAGGTAATTAAGTTGCGATGTGCTCCCTAGGGTGGGAACTAACTCCGCTGGACTAGTAGCTTTGTAAGGAGAGGTGATTGGGTCACAGGTGTGGAGACAGCTGAGTCACTGAAGCCAAGGATGTATGTTTCAGAAGAAACATGTCTTGGTCAGATCTTGCCCTTGGACCTCCTGCCTCCAGAATTTCCAGAAACCAAGTTACTATTTTTTTAAATTGTTATTTAAGAAGAACAGAGTTCACGTATTTCCTAGGTACAGTTCTAATGTGATAGCCATATTTCTTTTCCTCCCCTTTCCATCCGTCTGCCCTGCGACAGCTATGCACTGCACCCCCAGTTCTCCTGCTTGAAGAATCAGCACGCCTTCCAGTTTCTTTAGAAAGTTACAATTCATTTTTTTTTCTTTGAAAGTAAAAGATATTGTTGGTAGCTTGGTTTTGCTGAGGATGCATTGGGTATTTGCATGGATTCAGATTCATCCAGATATATTTACACATTGTGTATAATTTTAAATATAAATTCTACTTCAATAAATCTAAATATAATTTTTCATCATGAATACATCAAATGTTCATTTTCAAGCTTACTATGTAATAGCAATCTATATCTTATATTTTCATCACTCTGGCAAAGACCCCCCAGGAGAACTACTCCGGAAGGGAGAAGGGTCGGGTCCCTGTAGTCTGCTGCCTCCCGGGGGGTGAAGGTGAGCACTGGCTCAGTGTGTGGAGGAGCAGTTACACAGTGCATCCTTACCCCGTCCTGATTCAACCCCAGGGACTCTATCAGCATCATTCAGTCCAACCCGGCTCCAAGGCCATGCCTTCACCGATTCCAGGTCTACGCAGATCACTGTGAAATAGCTTGAGTGATACAACTCTTCACTTAGTGAAGAGAGAAGCTTTTTCCCCTTCACTCAAAAAGCCTAAGTGGGTGAACCAAGGCTGGTATGGGAACTCCACGACCAGGAATTCCTCACTTGTTTCATCTTGGTTCTCTGTCCCGCCCGCCCGAGACATGGCTTTCATCATGTGGTCCAAGATGGATGCTTGCTGCTGCTGCTGTATGTCGGCAATATAGCCGTGGTAGATGGGAAAGCGAAACAGAGAAATACTAGGCACTGTTTTGTTTTGAGAGCATGATAATAATAATATAGAAGTTTTCTTTTTAAGTGTGTATTACACTTCTCCAAAGAACCAAAATTCACAGGATGTGTATTTTGTAATGAGTGTAATGAGTGTGTATATATAGACATGTATTATGAGAAATTGGTTCATGAAGTTATGGAAGCCAAAAAGTCCCATGATTTTCTGTCTGTGAACCAGGCGCCCAGGAAATCTGTTGGTGTGATTCTGAAAGTCAGGAGTCTGAAAGTCCAAGACTTAGGGAACCTAACGATGTGGGTGTCATCGGTGTGAGGACAGGCAAAGGGTGGGCTGAGAAGCCCAGCTCAGACAGGAAGGTTGGGAAAGATACAACTTCCTTCTTCCTCCACTACATCCAACTAGATAAAGCCCAACCAGCTTGGGGAGGGCAGTGCTCTATATTGGCTCCACCAACTGAAATGTTCAGCTCACCCAGAAACATCCCAGTAAACACATTCAGAAACACAGTGTTGAGTCTGGTCAGGCTACGGATCATTCAGTTTGACACATAAACTTAAGCATTACAATTCCCTCTTGTCAGTTTGGGACTCATTCACAAACAACCTTGTATGCCATACATAATTAGTAAAATAAATAAAGACAATGGCAAGGTCATCATCCCACTTACTGTGATACAACTATCTGATGTACACCAAAAATGCACTCACATTTCCACGAAAAGGGACAAAGTCCTTAAGTGAAGTTTACTCTTCTCCCTGAAATCCTCATAACTTAAATACTGTATTGTGAAAAAAAAAATAATGTCCAAAATTTTTACTAGGGGTGATAGTGAGTAATGCCACTCCAGTTTCTACCCTTTTATTTGGGGGCCCATGAATACAGGTTATTGTTGCGAGGGGACATGCCATATATTGGAGACTGATTTGGAGCCCATTAGCCTTCTAGATAACTTCTCTCCAACCTTTTAAGATCCCTTCACTCAGTCATTGTGGTCACTGGGTTTTCAGCAGGCCACTCTCTTGCTCTGTCAAAGCAGTTGCTTTTTTTTTTTTTTTTTTTCAGGGAAGGGGATTTTATTTGTATTTATCAAAGAAAAAGGAAATTAGACATGAAACAGGATGAAGTGGATCCAGTTGCATTTGAGCTGCAGGTGGCCTGAGCCTTGGGAGGAAGGGCGTGTTCATCCTTGGGAATTCCTGCTGTGCTTCTGCAGCAGGGTCAACAGGCAGTTGTTTGGTGTCGTCAGTTTCATGAGCTACTATACCCTTGATCAGAAGCAATTCCATGTAGAGGACTGTGATACTAAACCAAGAATTCGAAGATGGAAATTTGGCCAGTTACATTGTATATCGGGAAGGCAAATCCATATTTAAAGTAACTACTTATTTCAATAGGGACAAAATTCTGTGTCTTCCTTGGCTGGAATGGTTTAGTATAATCAGCCTGCCTAAGAGGTAGCTGGTCAGTCACACTGGGAAATGGTATGTCTCTGCTGATGGCAGCTTGGGGACTTAGCAGCGGCCATGGCTGGGGCTGTTTTGGTGAGTGGATGTGTGTGTTGCTGAATTCACACCTAAGCTTTGCCCTGTCACCAGGACACTTTATCCGTGGACCCTTTGGGCAGTGGCAGGAGTGGCTGAGGCAAAAGGAGACTTGCTCTCCATGGAACAGGTCAGACAATTCTTTCATTCATACCAACTTCTTTGCTGAGGTGACCCTTTGGTGAACATTCATATGGAACACAAATCTCTTCAAGTTTTGCCCATTCAGAGAGGTTTATCTAGTGCCTGAAAACTCGCTTGTCATCAATTTTTCAGCTATGTTCCTTCCAAGTATCTGACCCTCCAGTCAAACCATTGGCTGAGGCCCATGGGGCATAATTGCATATCTCTGGACATGTTTGCTTCTAAGTCCACTGAATATCCCAGTGTACTACTCAAAGTTCTGCCCCCTGGGAACATTTTCCTTCATCATGCCCCTTCATGATTGTTCAAAAGAGGGGATGTGGTATTTCAGTCACCTGCTTTTGGGTGATGCTTATGTGTTATGCAAGACCACTTGTAAATCATGCCCAAGTCTTTTCTTGCTCGGCCAATTGAGGGACATCCCTCTGCCTAAACCCCACCGTGTGAAGTTGAAGGTGAAATCTGTTAGAGAGAAAGCAGGAAGTGAAGCAGAACCATTGGATCACTTGTGCAGGTAACTTACCTGTGCCTTTATGGCCTTTGGGGCTGATTATTTGAAAACTACTTCTATTTGATGGTGGAATGTTGCTGTGCACATCGACTTTGGTGGCTTGTAAAGCCAGACAATACCCAGTTCATCATGGCTAACTTAGTGGCATATGGCTTGGTGCCTGGGCTTAGGCCCAGTAGCTAGTAAGAACAGTTTCTCAAAGGGAGAGCAGCTGTCTTTGGGGGTTGGCAAAGCCTTGCTCCAGCACCCAGAGGCCTGCACTGTGTTCCGCCCCCATGGCGGGGCTGCCGAGGACTTGGAACCACATCTCTGTTGATTGCTGACACTTCTAGTCTCATTGGATCTGCTGGATGC